CTTGTGCAGGAGCACCCCTTCTCTGGGTACTTATGGCTCTGCTGTTTCTGGAGGTTCCTTTCCTTGGGTTGTGCAGCTCCCAGGGGTCAGGCTGGGTTGCTGGAGTGGGTGCAGGTGCTTTTATCCAACAGCACAAGTCACCCAGGGCAACATTCCCAGAGCCAAAGCTGCCAGCTGGGCTTGTCTCAGTTGGGTACTCAAGGGTGGCCAGCAAAGACACGTTGGTGCCTTTTTCATTTGCCAAGTTACTACCTTCTCTTACATCTCAACTTTCCTCTCTCTGGCCCAGGTCATTAATTTCTACATGAACCTTCTGGTGGAAAGAAGTAAGAAGGAAGGCTATCCAGCACTCCATGCTTTTAGTACCTTCTTCTACCCCAAACTCTGTTCTGGAGGCTACAAAGCAGTGAGGAGGTGGACCAGAGGTGTGGATCTCTTCAAACAGGATCTCATCCTGGTGCCCATTCACCTCAGAGTGCACTGGACGCTGCTGGTGAGTCAAACTGGCCTTTTATTTAGGGGAGGGGAGGAACAAAACTAGCAAGAAAAGTCCTTTAGGGTTTGGGATGTGCTTTGTCCAACATTCACCTTTTAATCCCAGGTCATAGATGTCAGAAAGAAAACTATCAAATACTTTGATTCCTTGGGACAGAAAGGAGACAACATTTGTAAAACCCTGCTGTGAGTAGCTACTTTTTTATCCTTTTGATTGTTTTGAGGCCTTTTTCCTTCCCCACTTGGAGTGGTCCTGCCCTGGCACAGGCTGCTCCTCACTTTGTCCCTCTTCTGTTTTGCTCAGTGTTTTAAATCACCTGGAGTGTAACTGGGGCAGGTTTTCATTGTTCTGGACATCCTTACATGTCTTTACCAGTAAAATACCTTAATCCAACAGCTTTTTAGAGCACCACAGAGACAAACCACAGAATCCCTGAGGTTGGAAAAACCTTCCTAGCCCATGGAGTTCCCCCTGTGCCCTATCCCCACCTTGCCCCCCAGCCCAGAGCACTCAGTGCCACGGCCAGGCCTTCCTTGGGCACCTCCAGGGCTGGGGACTCCAAACCTCCCTGGGCAGCCCCTGCCAGTGCCTGACAGCCCTTTCCAGGGACAAGTTCCTCCTGGTATCCAATCTAAACCTCCCCTGGCACAGCCTGAGGCCGTTCCCTCTCCTCCTGTCCCTTGTTCCCTGGGAGCAGAGCCCGACCCCCCCAGCTCCCCCCTCCTGTCAGGGAGTTGCAGAGCCAGAAGGTCCCCCCTGAGCCTCCTTTTCTCCAGGCTGAGCCCCCCCAGCTCCCTCAGCCCTTCCTGCTGCTCCAGCCCCTTCCCAGCTCCGTTCCCTTCCCTGCACACGCTCCAGCCCCTCCATGTCCTTCCTGAACTGAGGGGCCCAGAACTGGACACAGCCCTGGAGGGGCCTCAGCGGTGCCAGCACAGGGGGACAATCCCTGCCCTGGGCCTGTGCCCACTCTGGGTGTGACACAGCCCAGGTGCCCTTGGCCTCCTGCCCACCTGGGCACACCTGGGCTCATGTCCAGCCGCTGTCACCAGCACTCCCAAGGCCTTTCCCAGCTTTCCAGCCCCTCCACCCCAGCCTGGAGCTTTCCAGGGAGTTGTTGTGACCCCAGGGCAGGACCTGGCACTTGACCCTGTTGACCCTCACACCGTTGCCCTCAGCCCATGGATCCAGCCTGTCCTGAACCCCCTGCAGAGCCTTCCTGCTCTTAGCTCATCCACATCCCACCCAACCTGGTGTCATCTGTGAACTGATGGAGGGTGTCCTTGATCCCTTCATCCAGATCATGGATAAAGATATTAAACAGGACTGGCCAATACTGAGCCTTGGGGAACCCCACTTGCAGCCTCTCACCATGCCTCTAAATTTAAGATTGGGATTTTTCCTCCACATTCCTTAAATCTGCTGCTGTGAGGATCCTCTGACATTTCACTGCCACTCATCTTCCTGTCACTCTTCAGCAGCTTTTTTTTTTTTTGTTGCCCTAAACTGAGGAGATGAAAAGTGATTTTGTGTTGTTTTAAACAGACAATACCTGCAAGAGGAAAGCAGGGAAAAAAGAAAGCTGGAATTGACTGCTTCCGAGTGGACTCTTCGCAGCCTGAGCCCGGAGGTCCGTGAGCAGTGCCTGGATTTGGGATGTGAGGGAGGGTATAACACTTTCCAAGGAAGCAAAAGGGATTACTTGGGACTATTCTTTGGGTTTGGGAGCAGGAAATGGGTTCTGGAAGTAGGTTTTCAGTTGTTGTTGGTGTGGGTAATGTGTGCTATGAACAAATTGCTGCTCTTTCAAGGCATTAAGGCATAAAAATTCTCCATCTTTTTTGTGTTCCTCAGGAAATCCCTCAACAAAGTAATGGAAGTGACTGTGGGGTTTTTGTTTGCAAATTTGCTGATTCCATCTCCAGAGACAAACCCATCACCTTCACGCAGGTGAGGGAAGTGAGAAACAGCTCCAGCCTTTCCCACATGGATACAAGAGCCAGGGCAGGGGCTGAGGGCTTGTTCCTCATGTCTGGTGTCTGCTTCTTGGCAAGATCGTGGAATCATGGAATCCCAGAGTGGTTTGGGTTGGAAGGGACCTTAAAACCCAACTTGTTCCAACCACAGGATGCTGCAGCCACTGGTTTCTAATATCTGGCCTTTGTATCTCTTGGAAAACAGGTTTCCCCCTTGGAGCAGTTCAGACACTGGTTATTTTCCAGCGTGGTGGCCTTTAATAAACATCCTTCAGAGCAAACGTGGCTTTGTTGGGTGGTTGTGTGTCACCCTTGTGTGAAACCCACCTTGTACCCAAATGGCAGGTGCTGACAGCTCTGAAGAGCAACTTCCATTCAAGAATTCCCTGGGCGTTTATGGAGATTTTCTGCCTCTTTCTCCCCTGCCTTCCTGTTTAATGGATTTTTCCCTTTCCTTTCCAGGAGCACATGCCTTACTTCCGCCGGAAGATGGTGTGGGAAATAATTCATCAGCAGCTGCTGTGAGACATGCACTGTTAGCAAAACACTGTTCTGTAAAAAAAGAGAGGTATTTATTTCTTACTGTTAAGATAAATATTTAATTTATGTAAGAGCCTTATTGTAAGGGAACTTTACTTGTTAATAAATTAGAGTAATTTATTTTTTAATTGAAAACCAGTTTGGTGTCTCCATGTGTTTTTTTAACTTGCTCACAATTCCTAAGGAAGAGGAGGGGGTGTCTCCTCTCCTGGGCTCTGGGGGCTATCCCTGTGCTGTTCCTTGCCTGGAGATCCTCTCATGGAAGAGCAGAGGGGCTTTATCCACCTTTTCTTTCACACTGGTTGCCTCCGTCTGCCACAACCTCAGGCTCTCCAAAGGGAGAGCGATTCCAAAGGCAATTGGTTGTGTTTTGTCCTTACAAATAATTCATTGTGCATAATTATCTTCCCTAAGGACACAGAAGATCCAAGCTCTGAATGTTTTAGGTGTCCTTTCCCCTTCCCTTCATGTCTCCCTGTTCAGGGCTGCAGGTCTGAGGATGAATTGTTCCTCTTTTGGGGGCAAACACAAAAGGATGCCTGCAGAGGTGTTTGGGGTGGGGGCTTGGTGCTCTGAGGTGTTTTGGGGTGACACCAGAGCCTGCCCTTTCCAAGACAGTGTCCCTGGTGCTGGAAGGGGGGGAGGGAAGAGCCCAGAGGGGGGTTCTCTCACTGTGGCCCCCTCAGCGCCAGGACATCCCAGCCCCGTCTGGAACCTTTCCCCGTTGGATATTCCACCATTCTGGCTTTGCCAAGGATGTGCAGGGATGCAGAGGTGGTTCCATGATGGCAACTCCCACGTTGCAATGCCTACACCCACCCCCCTCCCCAAAATCCCACCGCACCCACCCCTTCCCTCCCCACCTGCAGGGAAATGGGGCATCCACGGGGGAAGCCCCGGCGGTGCCCAACGCGAGGGATCCCAAAGAAATCACGGAGAGCAGGCTCAGGCTCTGGTTAGCTGGATATATTTCTCTTTTTTTTCTGTCGGTGTCTCGGGTTGGTTTTCACACAACACTTTGCAGCAGAGGAAAACACGGATTCGCAGCCCCCGGCACCTCGGCTCCCATCCCTCCTCCTCCTGCCTGGTGCTTCCGCTGCTTCCACCCGTCACTTGGATTTGCTTAAACCCTTTTTTTTTTTTTTAATTTACTTTTTATGTTTGGCTTTTTCTTTTTTCCCTTTTTGGTTTTTTTTTTTTTTCCTTTCAAACCATTTCTCAAGCTTTTCCGAAGGAAAGGCCCCTGGCTTTTCGGTTTGCGGGGGGGACGGGGGGGGTCTGGGAAATGGGGGGGGTGGGTGGGTGGTGGTTTCCTTCTCCCACCTCGCAGCTGACTTGGTCGAGATCACTTTTCCAACTCAGTTTTTTTTTTTTATTACAAAAATAAAAAAAAAAAAAATGCTCCAACTCTTCAGTTTTACAAGGCATACAAAAATCTCTAAAAGGGCAACAAGCGCAAGGTGCTGAGGTACGAAAACCTGAGGTAGTTTTTTTGTGTGTGTCTGTGTGTGTGTGTGTGTGTGTGTTGAGGGGATCATTGGGAATATTTTTAATTTTAAAAATATTTTTTAAAAGTTTTTCAAAAAAATTATTTTTAATTTTGCTGGTTGGTTTTTCCAGCCCCTGGGCTGGCAACCTCTTTTGTAAATCCACTTTTTTTTTTTTTCCTCCACCCATTTCCCCCTCCTCTCCCTGCAACAAGGACATTTCCCTAAAATCCCAGCCCAAAGTGGGCAGGGCTGGTGCTGCCCATAGTTTTTCAGGGATGTCAGTGCTGGGCAGTGATGGAGAGAGGACAGACAGACAGAAAGGGGGGACGGAACGGATGCAACCCCCACTTTTGGAGTCTGTGAAGCAAAGAGGAAAGGGTGGGTGAGGGAGAGATTCCTCTTGCAGGAGGCAAGGGGAATCCTGTTGACTCCTACAGGCCCTGCTCTTCTCAAAGCCCTTCAGAAATCGTTTTTTAACACTTATTTAATAATTTTTTTCCCTGCTGGCAATCCTACAGCTCTGCTGCTCTACGGTGCATTAGAGAACCAATGGACCAGCTCCTGCCCTTAGACCTCTAGAAAAGCCTGCTTTTGCTAAAAACAAAGAGCCCCCTCCCCCTGAAAATTTAAAAAAAAAAAAAAGAAAAATAATTAAAAAAACCCCCAAAATAAAACCTTACAAAACTTAAAAATGGGGCGTTAGTTTCGTTACCCATATATTAATTCTAAAATTAACGAGCGCCGTGGCCCCCCCAGGCCGGGCCAGCCCCTCCTGGGTGAAACGGGGTGGGGGAAAACTCCAAACAAATCCCAAACAAATTCCCAAAAATTCCAAAATCCGAATCCCCTCTCTCCGCCTGTGTTAGTCCACCTGGAGGGAGAGCGTTGGCTGGGGGAGGCGATGGAATAAGGCAGAGGCTGCGGGGTGGAGGGAGCCCTCCCTGTCCGTGCCCCTCCCGGCTCACGGCTGGGGGGCCCGGGGGGGGTCTTTGGTTTGTGCCCTGCCCTGCTGGGGGTCCGGGGGCGCCGGGGGGAATTACATTCGTCGGGCGGTGCTGGCGGGAGCCTCACTTGCTGTGCTGCTGCGAGGCCGCGGCTCCCTGAGCGTGTTTGTGCTCCTGCTGCTTCACCTGCTGCACGATTTCCCTGATCTTGCGCTGGGCGGTCTGGGGGAGGCAGAAATGGGGGTCAGGGGGCACCACTGGCAGCTCTGCCCCCCTCCCCGAGCCATGACAGCATCACAACCACGACAGCTTTTAACCCCTGGGACAAGCCTGGCTGTAATTAAAGCTGGGGTTTAGCTTGTTTTTCCATTGCTCCATGGCCTCAATTTTGGGGTGTCACCCCCCAGCAGTCAGGAGCCAAAGGTGTGGTATGTGCACCCAGGTGGGATGGGGGAGCCCATTCCCACCCAGTGTGCAAGACAATTTTGGCTAAATTGAGGAAAACTTTAATTTTAAAGCAGCCAAACCTCCTTTATAATTTCTGGCCTCATAAACAAGCTGCTCATAGACTCACAGGATTACTGAGTTGGAAGGGACCCACCAGGACCATCCAGTCCAACCCTCAGCCCTGCACAGGCCCAGCCCCAAGAGTCACCCCCTGTGCCCCAGAGGATCAGCCAAACCCTCCTGGAGCTCTGGCAGCCTTGGGGCTGTGCCCACTGCCCTGGGGAGCCTGGGCAATGCCCAACCAGCCTCTGGGGAAAAACCTTTGCCTGAGATCCAACCTGAGCCTGCCCTGGCACAGCTCCAGCCATTCCCTGGGTGCTGTCCCTGGTCCCCCAGAGCAGAGCTCAGTCCCTGCCCCTCCTCTGCCCCTGCCCAGGAATTGGAACTGCACTGAGGTCTCCCCTCAGCCTCCTCTGCTCCAGCTGAACACACCAAGTGCCCTCAGTGTCCTCACACGGCTCCAAATCAAGGCCCTTTTCCCCATCCTTGTTGCCTCCTTTGGACACTCTCAAATGGCTTCAGATCCTTCTTACACTGCAGTGACCAAAACTGCCCAGAAACCTCCCAGATCAGGGCAGCAGGATGCTCAGGGAACGAATGCTGTGCTTGGTGGCTTTCCTTAACCTGGCTGGGAATGCCAGAAAAGCCACGGTCACGTGGCCAAACCTCACCTGACTGGCAAAGAAATGCCCGATGATTTTGACGACGACCTCGTCGTTCTCGTCCGGGGTTTGGTCCCGCGGCACAATCACTTCTGCACTCGTTAAATTCTGCAGCTCGTTCACCTGGAGAAAAGGACACAGATCCAGCTTTTGCAGTGGAAGAGCCAAAATCCTCCGCTGCCGGTGCCACCCCTGGCTCCGAGCCGGCACATGGCACCGGGAATGCTGTGGGTCACACCCTGTACCCCTCAGCCACCATGAAGAGCCACCTCCAGGGACTGAGACATTGCTGGGATCACAGAGCACCCAGACAGGGTGATGGGACATGGGGGACGCCCAACTCTGCCCCACTGGGGCAGGTGGTAGCACCCCACATCCCCCACCTACCGTCTTGCCGCCTTTGCCGATGACGCGGCCGGCGGCAAAGGAAGGCACCTTGATGTGGGCTTCGAGCTTCACCTCCTCCTTCGGGTTAAAGAAGTTTTCCTCTTTCAGCTTCCCGAATATTCGTCCCTGGGCCTGCAGAGGGGACAGAAGAAGGGAAGTAAAACCAGCAGTGCCTGCCGTGCCCTCCATCCCCACGGGTGATGATGCGGCCATGTCCACCAGCACCAAAGTCGTGGTCCCAAGCCATGAGCCCCCCTGGCACTCAGAGGGTGGCAGCACAGCAGGGACTGCAGGGATGCCCTTGCTGTGTCCCTGCCCATGTCCTCACCCAGCACCCACCCTCAGCCAGCACACCTTGAACTGAGCCTCGGGTGGCCCCGTGATGATCACCATCCGCTCGCTGGCATCCGGACCTTCCGCTGGGGCGATCTGGGAGGGAGTGGGAAGGACTGTGAGTGGGACCTCTTCCTCGGGCAAGACCTCCCCTAAATGGGATGTCCGCCCCATGCAAGAACATCCTCCCCATGCAAGGACATCCCCCCACCCGTGCAGGAGTGACAACCAGGCTGCAGGACTGGGTTTCCACTAATTTGGGGAGTAAAACCACCCCCCAAGGGCTCCCATTCTCTGCCCTCAATAGCAGGAAGGGGAAACTGAGGCATGAAGGCCCCGGGTAACCCCTGTAGAGCCCTGCTCACCTTGATGGAGGCACCAGCAAACCGTGCCAGCTGTTTGATGTGCTGCCCCTTCTTGCCGATGATGGCCCCCACCGCCTGCGTCGGGATGAACAAGTTCACCACCTCCTGCTCCGGCAGCTGGAAGGGGCACAGAGGAGCCAGAGGGTCAGGGGATCAGATGGATCTGGGGGTGGCCTCCCCACCCCAGCATGCCAGGGTTGAGGAGGAGCTGGGTTGGGCTGGGTTGGTGCGGGTTGAGTTGGGTAAGTTCTGGGTTGAGTTGGGTTGGGTCGAGGTGCTGGCACCCACCTTGTTTTTTTGCCTGCCCTGGCCACACAATCCCCCCCTCCCAAGGTGCTCAAGTGAAGACCTCATGGAGGGAGGTGCTGGGGCACTTTTGGGGTGCTGATGGGGGAGGGGCACTTACAGGGTGCTGGTGGGGGAAGGCGCTGGCCGGAGAGGCTCCGTACAGACCCGACACGTAGGCTGAGGAGCCCTGTGGTGGGAGAGGAAACAGGGTCAGTGACATCAGTGATGTCCCCAACGTGCCAGCCCCTTCCCAGTCCCATCCCAGCCACCCCTAGTACGAGTGAGAAGAGCAGTGTGCCACCACCATGAGCCTGGTGGGGACTCAGGGACCACACCCCACCCCCTGAGACCCCTCTGAGACCGTGGGTGCACCCAAGGGTGTAAAAGGGTGAGCTACAGCCTGGATGCTGTGCTTCTGGCCCAGCACAAAGGGGCTGGGAGGCAGTGGGAGCTCCCAGTTAACCCCAGTTCCTTCCCACTGCTGGTTTTTTGGTCATGTCCTGCTGCTGGAGCGGCCACAACCCTGGAAAGCCTCTTGGTTGTGCTGCAACCACCACTGGTCCCCTGTTGAGAAGGTGGGGATTGGGGAGAACTGAGCAAAACGTCTGCTTTGGCTCTGATTTCCATCCCCATTGTCCCTCTCCAGTTCCAAGAGAGGGAAAAGCAAAGGCTGAAGATGTTCTCCCAATACCCAGGCTGGGAGCAGGGAGAAAGCAGGGGATCTCTCCATGGCCAGAAGGAAGGACTGTGTGCCAGCACCCCAACCCAACCCACTCCAACCCAGCTCAACCTCTTCCGTGTCTCAAATCCATCAGACATTTCTCCTGGCAACAGACACAACTCCCTCCCACTCTGGGGGACATCAACAGGTCATCTCCCACCCAGCCAGGGTGGCCCCCACTTCTCAGCCTCCCCCATTCACTGTGAAGCTCCTTTCTCATCCTCCATCCTTGCCCAGTCTCTAGACCTCCACATTTTTCTTACTATAAATAAACAGGGGCGATTTCCAAGAGGAAATTGCTCTTCTTGGCCTCACCAGGGGGACTTAAAACAGGACATGCAAAGCTTTGGGGTGAAGAGACCCCACACCAAACGCTGCCCTTCAGAAGCCTGCCCAGACCCTCCCCATCACACCCACAAATACTTCCCACAAGCTGATGTCTCCCAACACACAGGGAGAGCATCCTCCCCTCCATGGGCTGGCACAGACAGACCAACTGACCCTCCTGGTGCCCTCCAGAGCCACCACATCCCCCCTCACCCACCCTGGCACTCACCGTCCTCCTGCGCCCGCTCTGCTGCTGCCATCGCCAGGGAGAGAAAACAGTACAAATCAATTAACCCACAACTTGGAATAAATTCTTCAGAGACAAACAGAGACAGCCCACAGCACCTGGGGGACCCAAGGGTGCTCTGCAGATGCTGCTGGATGGACTTTCTCTATCAGCACCTTGGCCACCGTGGTCTCTGGGCACTGGACCATTGCTGCCCACACGGGACCTCAGGGGTTTTGAAGATCCTTCCCCAGGTCTCAGCACCCCATGAACAATGAAAATGCCTCCCTATGAGGTGGAGTGGAGACTGGCTCCCTGCAAGCACAACCCCTGGGTGCCAGGGCAGGGATCCAAGGTGATCCTTTGTTGGTGGATGCACAGAGTGGGCTGCTCGTCCCCTGCACATCCTGTGACCACACCAGGGGACTCAGGTGGTCACCAAGACCAGACCCACAGAGCACAACCCAGCCCACACCAACCCAGTGTTGGGCTTGGAATCAGGACTGAAGAGCACCCACAAGGTTCTTCCATGCTCTCTTCAGACACTGACCCCCCACAGCTAGTCCCTAAACACGTGAAACCAAGCTCAGCACAACACAGGGATCTTCCCAGGAGCGGAATCCAAGGAAGGACAAGCCACCTTCATTCCCTGTCCTCTCCATTCTGCTGCCACGACAGCATCCTCCCCAAATGGCCAAGAGTCAGAGCTCCCACTCAAGGCTCCTGCAGTTCCAGTGACCACCCAAAGCCGACAGCTCCAGCAGGACTCTCCAGACACCACTCTGCCCCCAGGAACACACCCCCACACCCCAAAGCCTCCCACACTTACTGCAAAGGGGTGGTAGGGGGTGGCAGCTGCAGCCCCTCGGGTCCCCGGGGCGGACGGGAGCATGGACAGCCCTGTGGAGAAGATGCCCAAGGCGTTGAGGTTCAGTCCTGGGATCAGGTTGGCTTGTTGCTGGGAAAACAAAGACGTGGAGAGAGGTGTGAAAGGCAGAGTGGGGGTTTTGGGCTTCTCACCCCTCTGTGAGTGCGATGGGTGAGGGCCAACCAACCCTTGTCATAACATATTGACACTCTCCCCTCCAGTTTTCTTCTGGCCACCTCAGTGGAGCGGGAGCATCCCAGGGGGAAGGCTGGAGCTTACATTGACAGCCACCACGTCGTTCTCGTAGGCCTCTCTCAGCTTCTTCATGATCTCCACCTCGGCATGGGAACAGGCCTCCGTGCTGCCCTTCACCGTGATGGTCCGCTCGGGGTTGTAAATGGTCAAATCCTGCAAACTGCCCGCAGGGAAACCCGGACACGCCGTTACATTCTTCCTCCGGGGCAAGAAAAGCCCCAGGAAAACTCAAATCAAAGCTGAGGGTTCCTCCCCAAGACAGATTCCACACATCCCTCCCTCTCCTGGCCCAGCGCCACCATCCACCTGGGCTGAGGAACATCCACCTGGGATGGGAATGCACACGGAAGGACACAACTGCTCTGTTTTCTGGCTCTAGCACAGCCCATCCCATGCTGGATGGAAGGAGGTGGCTTGGTGTTCACCAGGACTTCACTGAATCATGGAATTCCAGAATGGTTTGGGTTAGAAGGGACCTTAAAGCCCATCCAGTTCCACCCCCTGTCATGGGCAGGGACACCTTCCACTAGCCCAGGTTGCTCCAAGACCTGTCCAACCTGGCCTTGAACACTTCCTGGGATGGGGTAGCCACAGCTTCTCTGGGCAATCTGTGCCAGGGCCTCCCCACCCTCACAGATAAGAATTCCTTCCCAATATCCCATCTATCCCTGCCCTCTGGTAGTGGGAAGCCATTCCCCTTGTCCTGTCACAGGAACTTACGGGGAGATGGTGATCTTCGTGCCTGTGTCCTGCTCAATCTTCTTGAGGTTGCGGCCCTCCTTGCCAATCAACCTCCCCACCAGGCTGTTGTGTGCCAGGATTTTCAAGGGAATCTCTTCTGCTCTAAAACGGATTCAAAAATAAAATCCAAAGGTCCGTCTGGCCAGGAAACCCATTTCCAGGTAGGGGCACTATGGATGCGGTGGAAGGAGCAGAAGAACCACCACCATTTCAAACCACCACCCGTCTGGCTGAGCCCGCAGCACTCACGATTTAGTTTCATCAGCCTCCTTCTGCATGATATCCAGGATCATGCGACAGGCTTCGGAGCAGCCCTCTGGTGTGGCATGGATGGTGATGGGCTTTTCGGCGGCGCCAGCGTTCTCCTTCCGGTGGATGTCGACCCTACGGAGAAACAACCGGCAGAGAGGAGCCCCCTGAGATGGGTCTGGCGGCACACAGAGGTTTCTGAGAGCTCAGGAGCTGAGAAAAAACTCGTTTCAACACTTGCTCAAGCTTTGGGGTGAACCTGGGTCTCAGGTGCATCTGCCACCACCTGGCTCATGCAAGCCCAGGTCGTGTTTGGTTTCGGGTGCTTTGGACCAGACCTGGGCTATGTTTGCCTTTAGGACATGAGGTCCCTGGGAGCTGAGGGGCATCACAACATCAACCAATGCATCGAGGAGGCAGAACAAACCCTCAACAGCTCAAAGCCCTCAGCCACCTGCCTATCCTCTCTGATGCCAGTCCCACTCGGAGCTGGAGACCAGGTCAGGGGTCTCCAGAGGTCCCTTCCGACCTCCACCTCTCTCTGCACAACACCCGAGGCTGTCCAGCGACCACGTCCTTCGGGACAGAGAGAACTTACCCGTGGGCAGCGTCTGTCCCGACACGGAGGCAACACGTCAACAACAGCGCTGGTACTCACGCCCTCCCTCGGGAGAGCAGCAGCCCCTCCCGTGCGCCCGGCGGGACCTGCTCTCCTCCTCTGGTCCTCCCTCAGCTCATGGCGGGGAGGCAGAACGCGCCTCCAGCTCGCTCCTCATGCTCAACCGTACCTGGCAAAGGCCCTGAGAGAGAGGGAGAGAGGAAAGCAGGGTAGGAGACTCCCGCACTTCAACCACGCGGCCCGGAGAGCAGGGGGAAGCGACCTCTCCGTCTTCTCCGCGCGAGGCCGCGCGCTCTTCCCGCCGCAGAATGACGGACGCCATGCAGCTGTCCTGCCACGGGCCACCACCGTGTGTCCCCGTCACTGCTGCAGCCAGGGCCACATCTTCTGAGCAGGGGCGGCAGTGGCCGCTCAGCCCCTCGGTGAATCCCACCGGTGCTCAGCTCCGACGTGGCAGAGCCTCAGGCCACGTCTCCGAGGTCTCCGTCCTGACCGGGGTCACTCCTGGTGTCGCTGTGTGTGCCAGGCCAAGGGCTGTGGGGCAGAGCCACCCCCATCTGTGGGGGAATGGTGTGGGGTCCCGGTGGGTTTGCACAGCTCAACTCTTCCATGAGCTCCTGAGCCAGCGCGTCGGAACGTGAGCAGTGGAGGGTGAGCCAGGTAAGGCTGGGGGAGCTGAGATAAGGGCAGAGCCAACTCCACCAGCTCCAAAGGGACCTCAGAGTGGTTCCATCCAAGTGCTGAGTAGGGAGTGAAAACAGAGCGTGATCCCTTTTGTAGGCTCCATCTCTCCGGATCTCCCACGGCTTCAGCCAGAGCTGCTCGGGCAGGAGGCTGGTCCCGAGTGGACTGTGCAAGGAGGTGATGAGGACACTGGCACCGCTGAGCTCTCCCTGCCCTTGGTCACATCTACAGCCCGTGGTGACCCTGCTGTGTGCTGTGTGACACCTCTGAGGCGCTCCCAGCCGTGCAGCTCCGTCAGGTTGGTTTGCAGGATCTGTTCCCAGCAGGCACAGGGACACGCTGCCTCCCCCTTCGCCAGGGACAGGGCAAGAACATCACAAGGGGCCACATGAGGTGATGACAGACCAGGCTGATGCTCCCAGTTAGGGGGAACCCATGAGGATCCCAACAAACCCCACAGATGGGAGCCAAGCAGCTCCTTGAACCCACGAGCAGCTGAGGCTGGTGGAGGTGGGGACACAGCTGAGCCTCCGCCCTGGAGGAGGACCAAGCACCAGGGAAGGGCTGAATGGAGGCACTGAGGTGATGAGGACCTGGGACAATCCCCAGAGAGAGGCATGAGCCAAGTTTCTGGCTGACCAAGCCATCCCACACCTGGGTGTGAGGCATGAGCTCCCTTTGCAGAGGGAAGATGTGACGCCAGAAAGGGGCTGCCGTGTTCAAGGCATGTCCCACCCCAAAGAGCTGGAGAAGGGAGAGCTCTGGACTTTCCAGCACATCCCAGTGCCACTGCTGCACGGCTCCATTCCAATGGGAGGATGGGGAAGGGGCACCCTCACCCCATCACCAGGAGCTGCAGGAAGGGGCGACCAGGGATGGTGGGACAGGGACAGGGCAGGTTTGCCCATGGTGTAGCAGGAAAAGCCTCCAAGACACATCACAGGGGTCTGGGAATGTTTCAGGGAGTGGTGGCCATGAGGGACAGCCCTCTCCAGGTGGACAATACGGTGTTCATGCAGGGTTATCCCGGTAGCCATGGTCCTCTCCTCACTGAGTTCCAGGGGCTGTGGAAGGTCATCTGGTGGGGTGGGCTCTTGGCCTGGGCTTCTTTGTGGGAGAAGATGGCTCAGCCTGGGGACAGTTTTGTCCCCTGGAGCTCAGGAGCATGTCTGGGATCACTGTGTGTGCAGCCAGGCGGTGAAGTCCAGTGACCAGAAGAATCCAGAACCCAAGGTCGCTTTGGGTAGGAGCAGGGGCTGGACATCACTCAGGTTGGCCTGAGCAAGGACACAGCTGTGGGATGACACCCCAAACTGAAGGAAAGGGTCTCCTGAGACTGCCCAGGATGGGTGCTTGAGGTCCTCTTTGCCCAGGGCTGGAGTGGAAGTGGTGGTACATGGTCTCTGTGGGTAGGTCAGGAGAGGGGGTGAGCACGGAGTGCGGCCTTCCTCCAGGGCACCGGGTCTTCAGGGCAGGCACAGGGAGCTAATCCATAAGGAAGGACAATTTCATAGTAGAAACTACCCCAGGCAGCAGCGTTTGACCTCGTGGTCAGGAAAAACCAGCATCTTCCCACTCTTCACCAGGCTCAGGGCTTGGAAAGGGCAACTTCCAGTCTTGGGTGGTGGGAACACAGCTACCCCTGCTGCTCATCCCACCAGGACTCACCTGGAGAAGGGCTTGTGGCCAACAGGGACCAGCTCACAGCCACCAGGCGGCCCTGCCTGAGGGCCAGCCGGGCTCCAAGAGCTCCTCTCTCCCTACTCATCTGCCCCATTTCCATACAAACCTCTTCCTGCCAACCCAATGCCGGGGTCTAGATCGTCTTCCTAGACGTCCTCCGGCCGCGCTACTACCAAATAATTTGCCTCTAAAAGCTCCTCTGGGAACTAGGATGCTGTTATGGGACAGGAGTCCTACGTCCCATGGGATCACTGGGTTTGGGATGATGAGCATGGGAGAAGGCAGCTTTGGGTTAGACACAAACACACCTGGGCAGGAACAAACCATGCAGGAAAACCATGCGGAGGATCAGCGGTGAAATCAAGGAAGACAGCGACAAGAGAAACATGGAAAACTTTGGCAAGACAAATCCCCCTTTTTGTTCTTTCCTTCTTTTTTTTTTGAAAATAGAAATGTTAAAAAAAAAATGTTAATGGCTAAAAAAGGCTTCCAACAGTTACAAAGCCTGTCCTTCTCATGGCAGTGCTCCCACGGTGTCCCCTTTCCCCCTACAACAGCTCTAGCCCATATGGGATGCTCATCCCATATGATTATGATCCCACTGATGAGCAAATCCCGAGGGCAAAGACCACTGCACTGAGGATTCCCCTCTGGGATTTTAACCCCAAACTTGCCATTTCTCCCTAAAGCCTCATCCCCAGCTGCTTTCATGAGGCTTTAGGAACTCATTCCTGGCCTTTTCCAACCGTGCATCCCCCTCCTGCCGCACCGAGAACACCCTGGCCAGCAGGAATGGTTCAGGATTTGAGCTCTGCCACCATCCCCTGAAGGCTGCACCCCAAGGAATCAGCACTGGCCGGCACTCCAGAGCCCCGAGTGCAGGGAGGACCCCAAGCTGGGACCTGCAGCACCCTACAGAAGGAAACAAAACCATTGGAAGTACTTACTTGGACTGGGTTTGCTTAGTAAGGTTCTTTATGGTCAAGCCCTCCTTTCCTATGATCGCACCAACAAACTGCGTGGGCACCAGCATCCGCAGTGGGAACTCGAGCTGTTTGGGCTGCGAGGAGCCCCCCGGGGAGGAGCCCCGCTCCCTGGAAGAGTGGCCCCCGCGGCGGGATCGCTGGGGGGGCGGAGGGGAGCTCACCTCTTCATCCGGGATGTAGGAAATCTTGAAGGAATAGTTCTCAAACTGGTGGTTGCTCAGCTTCTCTATGGCTCTGCAAGGCAGGGACACGCGCAGGGTGCTGAGGGGCTCCCCGGGGACGGGCACCCCACCAGCACCCCCAGAGCCTGGTAGTCCACGGCCCCTCCCCAGTCCTCAGCTTCTCCCTCCCCGGTCTGGAGAAGGTGGTCACAGGAAGCCAGAGCCCCTCGCTTTTCCCATGAGGAGCAAGTCCCGTAGCGTGGTGGGACATCATCCCCTCCCACGTGGCTGATGCTGGAGCTGGCACACAGCTCATCTCCCCAGCAGAGGTGAGATGGCAGCCTGGGGACCTGCCCCTTCACCTGGGAACCTAATCCCGGGCAAAGTACTTCCCAGAAACAGCCTGACAGGCTTTTTGGACATGGAAAAGGTGATAGAGCAGCTCTGAGCAACCACCACAGCTCCAGGGAGAGGGATGTAGCACGTGGTACCCCTTTTTTGGAAACCCCAACTTGGCTTTTCTCACTCTCCCATCACCACCACATTTCTTCACCATCTCTGCCATCTCCTTCACCACCTTCAGCAGCTCTAACTGGGTGGTCACACTGGTGATTAATCTGGTGCATTCCCTGTTTTGGCCTGGATTTCCAACCTGGGAAGACGAACTGCTTATCTGACCTGACCCTCAGCTTTCCATTTTGCTGCCTGAAGACAAGGCCACTGAGCCATGGCAGAGAACCCTGCAGGAAGGACAGTGTCCAAAGGGAATTTCACGTCCAGGAGACAAGGAGAGAAGGCCCCTTGAAGGGACAACCACAGGGCTGATGGTCACAGGAAACCCCATCTCCCACCAGGGGAGAAGGCAGGAGACAGCCCAGCAGTGGGACAGCTTAGACAGAAGACAAGATGCCTGGGATTCCTCAGGAAAAGTCTGGGTGCTGTGAAATTATGGACAAAGCAAAACAAAGCCCACTCACACTTTTGCCTCTTCCTTGGTCGCGTAGGTCACGTTGACAACGGCTGTTTCTGTGTCTGTGTTCACTGGGGGAGCAAGAGGAGGACAGTTAGAGCAGGGAGGGAGAGAGGTCACTGCTGCTCCCAGCACACTCCAGAGAGGGGACACAGCTGGGGACAGTGGGATGGGGATGCCTGGCACTGCTGTACTTCCCCCCAGCACAAGGACAGGGCTGGAACAAGACCAGAAGGTGCCAAAGCTGGATCCAGGCAGGACACTTAGCTGGACATCCCCAGTCCATCAGTGGACCCCAAACAACACTCAGCTCATTTTTACAGGCCAGGAACCAGGAGAATCCCTAGGGATGGAGGATGGATGGCCCATGCCATCCCACCACGGAATGGGCAGCTCTACCTCTGCCAGCAGGGCTTGGGTCCAAAAGGAAAACCAGTTCAGCCCAGTACTACTGGGATAATTAGGTTTCACCCCAGTGGGTTTCCTTTTCCTGTGGTGTGGGCAGAGCCAGGGAGCAGCGCTGAGGACCACGCTGGGCCATCTTACCTTGCTCTACGTTCTCCACCGTCCCGTACTGAGCTAACAGGCCATCCAGCACCTGGGGAGAGCAGCAAACCAGGCAGGTGAGGCCCCAGACAGTCAGGGGAAGAGCCCACTCCCCCCACAAACACCCTCCAACATCACCCAACTGCTTAAATGCCTTCACCCACCTGCATCCCACCATCCCAAAGACGCCCCGCCACTCAAAGCTGCCCCACAACTCCGTGACCCACAGACAGGCAGGAGCTGGGGCCCAGTTCATGCTCACTCCTGGGGTTACTGGGAGGGTAAAGGGTGGCCCACGGGCAGACCACGTGCTCCAATAGCACAGCTCGTGCTGATGGAGGGGGAGATGAACGGGATGTTTTTAGGATCGGCCACTTCTTACCTCCCACTGTAGGTGGGGGGGGATATTTCGGATCTGGATCTTCCTGCTCCTGCAAAGACAAAGCCCTCGGTTAGGGTCTGCAGGTGCCCCACAGCAGAGGGAACAGCCTCTCTGGGAATCACATGGCAGTTGGGGAGAGCTTTCCAAAGCATCCCGCTTCCCCACGCCGAGCCAGGGCAGCTCATCCCCAGGGAAAGAGCTTCTCCCAGCTTTGCCCCAGTCACCCTGCCGGGCCTGGAGCTGTCTCCAGAACGCTCCCTCCTCATGCTGGCTGTCAGGTTTCCAAGGAAACCTCCTGAAAGGAGCCTCTGCAGAGCCATGGCCGCACAGGGAGGCTGGGATGCATGGACACCCCTGACCATGCTGCCCTGGGCTGGGGGCTGGGTGGGGACAGGACCCCCAGCCCCACCACAGCCAGCCCTGCTATTCCTTGAGGGGGCTCTCCAAACACGTATCCTGCTGTGTCCACCACTTCCCAGCAAAGTGGGGCTGCTTTCCTTGGGGAAACCTAAATAAATATTCTTGGAGCTGGCCAACACACCCAACCTTCCAACCTGACATGATTGTGTTCCCAATCTGGCCATGGCTGCATTCCCAACCTGGCCACGGCTGCATTCCCAACCTGGCTTTGACAGCATTCCCAACCTCATGACTGTGCTCCCAACCTGGCTGTGGTTACACTCCCAAGCTCACCACGGAGCAGCCTTGGGGAATGGATGCACAGGAACCACTGCCAAGGCTTCCTATGGCATAACAGCCACCAAATACCTCCCTAGCCTGGTTGTGCTTGGGCAGTGGGGAGTTTTGAGACAGTCCAATCCATGGAGGATCCAATCAAGCCATGAGCTCATCCATGGGCCACTCAGATCAGCATTCCCAATCCTGCTTGTAGTCAGTCAGCTCTGACCAAAGCACTGTCCTATGTTCTCAGCTCTCCCAATACCCAGGATGAGCTTCCTGACAGCTCCTCCCACCCCACCCCGCCAGGTTTTGGGAGTTGATCAGCAGCTGGAAGCTGATTTTATGAAGTTTTCCCCTTCCTTGGGATGAGATCAAGGAGAATGCTTGGAAGGACAGGCACCACCAGCCTCAACACTACGTGGGGACAGGGAAGCAGCTCCAGCTGATGGTCATCAACACCCAGGGGCTTTGGGCCAAATCCCGCAGGACCAGGAGGCAGGAGGAGATGGAAGAATACATCAACACCCTGATTCCACCAGCAATCTTCAACTCCTGCCTGCTCCAAGGGATGCATCCCATTCCCAAAATGCCTGGTGACAGGCTGTGAGGCTGCTGTGCCAGAGCAAATCCCAGTGAGTCTCAAACCACTGGAGAGAGCTGCCTGGTTACTCCCACCACCTTCCAGGCCCCAAACAATGGGTGGAACCTTCACTGGCCTTATCCCAAGGTGCCACACTTGGCTGCAAGCCAAAGCATCACCACAACCAGCCTCCTCCTGCAGCTTGGGAACCATCAGGAATGCCACAGGCTGGACCAGGGAGGAGCTGCTCTCCCTTTGGGGTTCAGCTGGCTCAGCTCACCCGCCACCAAAGCCCAGTACACAGGGTACTTTGAGGGAGCTCATCCAAGAGAAACCAGCACAGCAGCTGCACACAGTCCCCTGGCCACTCCCGGGAAGCCTCTGCCTTGAACTGAATTGCTCCAAGGCTGTAATTTCCCTACATGTCTCCCAAGGGAGATGCCATGAGAGATGCCAAGGGAGATGCCAGAGCAGCCCAGTCTCCTGAGGTGGTGCTCACCCCTCTGTGCCTGCCACCCACCTCCCCAAGCACCCAAACAGAAGGATCACAGCACAGTGCCACGTAACCCCAGTGCCACGTAACCCCACTTCCCAAAAGGACACTACAACATATTCCCACTTCCAATGTCCATCCAAGCTCGTGCAGAGCACCTAAAGACACTCAAATGGTGCTCCAAGGTTCCCCCCACCCCCAGGCAGGACTCCCAGCAGCTCATCATCACCACTGACCATTTAAAATAAGGTTATTATTCCCACAGGGTGTTTTTAAGGCTCTTGTAATTCCCCACCTGGCTGGAGCAGTGCTGGACCACACACAGTCATCACTGATGGAGTGATGGATGTGTGATTCCCAGGGCTGGGGCAGGGACAACCCTCCTCCAACACCACTCCCAGGAGGACCTGGAGGCAGAAACCCCCTTTATTTTTATTTTAGTTTCATTTTCCTCGCTCCTCCCGAAACCTGGGGACTGATTTCCAGGGACAGGACCCCGGCACAGGAGCTCATGACCAGAGGCAGCAGCCACGTTTCCCCCAACCAGTTTTGCAGCAGGCTGGTGGGGATTTAAAAAACATAATAAATGTAACAACCACTTCGGGGAAAAACACTTAAATGTGTGATGCAACTGCCACAGCAAGCTGTCCTTGGATAACCTGGAGAGCTGATCCTCCTGTATCACCCTTTGGCTCTGCCCTACCTGCACACCCACCTCGTGCCCAGACCAGGACAAAGTGCCCTATGGGAACAGAGCACCAGCTTCAAGAGCTAAAGAAACCAGGTTCACCTGCTATTTTTCCCTCCTAAATTCAACCCAAACAGGTCCTGCCCGGCAGCAGCTCCAGGAGGGAGCATCTCCTTCATCCCAGAGCTGCGTTTTCGGCACCGGCAGCACACGTGGGATCGAGGAGGGAGTGAGGCTGTGGGGTGGGCTCAGGAACTAATCCAGCTTGTGTGTCATTTCCTGCATCCATCAGAGCAAAATCATGGGGCTGACATCACAATCCTGAAGGGAAAGGGGATGGAAACCCAGGAAAACCTGCCAGCATCACCCCGTGCCACGTGCCCGGGGTCTGCACTTGCTGAAATCAAGCAATAAAACAGAAAATGCCTTAAAACTTATGGTGGGTTCCCCAGAATCAGGTGGATTGAAGGTTTTTTTGGCACATCTCCCTCTTTTCCAGCGTGGCTCCCTGTCCTCCCATAGCTGCCAGGGAAACAGTGGGTAACAACCCCCTCCAAAATCCAGGGACACAGAGGGAGGATAAAAAAGATGAGACGAAGGTGTGAAATGAAAATGAGCCACCAGCTCCCTGCTCAACCTCCACAGGTCCTCCCTGGATCCTCCTGTGGATCACTCAGCCATCCCCTGCTCTCCTGCTCCAGAGGGTCTTCACATCCCAAAGTATTTGGGAATCAGAAACTCAATTTCACTGAGCTGGCTTAAATATAAGCCCTGTAATAATACTACAATAATAAAAATATAGTAATATAACAACATGATAATACAATAACATGAAAAATCATATATAATGGTATATAATTAATATTACGGAATATAATATTCACCACTCTCTGCCCTAAAAAAAGCAGAATTTTTTTCTACTCAAGCTTTAGTATCTTAACTGTATTAAAGCCACAAAGGGATTTTATCACCTTCCACCTTGGATTGGTGCTGGGGGCAGACAAAACACGGTCTGGCAACTCCTGCTTTCCTGAAAAATCAGTTTTCAAGAGAACTGGGGGGAAAAACCAGAGGGACAACGTGCTGGAAATCAAACAGGAGCCCTGCCTGCTTTATGAAATATTTGTCCCAGGGAAGAAAACATCTACAAAAAAGATTCCCATCAGCAGGCACGGACCAAATTCCATCCCAGCTGAATTTTCCAGACCCAGCCACACTGACCAGGCAGGGAAGGAAGTGGCTGTTGGGTTTGTGTCTGCCATTATATATATATATATATGTATATATATATATATTTTAAGTCATCAGGGTCATCCTGGACAAGTTTTGCTGCCTCCCAACCCCATCCAGCAGCGGATCTTCCCGAGTTGTTCCATCAGTGCCAGGCTGGATGAGCATTAAAGGGCTGCCCCAGTTTCAACCAGTTGCCAAGAGCATCGAGGCTGCTCCAGTTCCCTCCCAGCCCAGGCTTTGCCCTGACGCTCTTAAGGAATTAAAATCCCTTGTTGTTAAAGCCCAGCAACCTGCCGAGGGTCGGGAGCACGGGATGGACACAGCCCCGGGAGCTGGGATGTATTAACAATAGGGATGGACGGGAATAACGGCCCATCTGTCACAGCCCGGCCACAGGAAGGGGGGGAGGAAACAAAAGAGGGTGGGGGAAGAGAAGGGAGGGAAATTAGAAGG